CATCGACACAGGAAAAACTAAAGAGAATCGGTGAGCCGGGCCAGATAATGTCTGAAATGTTATCTGTCTATGATCTGATGCTTTTGAATGTTAGCGTTGACCTTCTGTTTCTGGTTTCAGGTATCATGAAAGCAGTCAGATGAGCTCTCTGGTGGAGACGTTTGTGAGTAAAGCCAGCGCTTTGCAGAGACAGGGGAGGGCAGGACTTGTTCGAGAGGGCTTCTGTTTCCGCCTTTACCCCAAATTCAGGTACACCGCCACTGAGGTGCTTTACAGATTGTGGCACATAGAGTAGCAACCTTCCATTTGGTGGTCTGTTTTGTTTGCCAATGCGCATATTGTAGGGAGGAAATTTAATGAGAGTAAATGTATATCATTATATAGTTATTTGGTTATTATATATTTAGAACTATATAGTTATTATAGTTTTTACTTGTCATTAGTTAACTACATTGGTTTAAACAAAAAAAAATGATTGAACTAACAGTGAAAAATATTTCTAAACCATTTTAGTCCTAGTTTGACAATTTTAACATTTATTAATACATTATTAAAATCAGTAGTTGTATAGGTTAATATCTGTTAATATTATATTATGGATCTGATTTAACGTGAACTAGCAATGGACATGTCACAGACATACAGCCATATCACCCTGTAGCCCAAGACTGGTTGCCCGTTCATTCATTCATTCAACAGCTGTAATTTTATTAACTAACATTAACAAAGATTAATAAACAAATGCTGTTTTTTATGTGTCCTTATTGTAAAGTGTTAAAAGCATTTAGAGTGCAAAAACTGATAGATTTCTAAATTCTGATTTATGTATGTATTTTAAAATTATATACTGTCATACCGCACATGTCTGTTTTTCCCACTCCAGATTGAGAGCTTCATTGACTACTCCATTCCTGAGATTCTCAGAGTGCCTTTGGAGGAGCTTTGCGTTCATATTATGTTACGTACCAACTTTGTCTTTTGAAACTACTTTACTGTTAAAGTTTGTG